GCTGGGCAGGGCTGGGCAGGGCTGGGCAGGGCAGGGGCTGTGAGCCCGGTGGCCACAGTTGCATGAATGAGAACTGGTGGCCATGAGCTTCCCAGGAAGGGGCCCTGGCTTCTTGCGCCTGCCCATTGCGCCTGGGTTTCAAAGCTCTTACAGTTGGCTCCAGTCAGGGACTGTCTCAGCGCTAGTGGGAGCTGGAACCAGCCCTGCGGGGGAGCTCCTGGGTCTCCACGAGGTGCCAGCCAGGGCCAGGGAGGGTGAGTCGGCAGGCAAGGCAATGACTGGGCCAGCTGCTCAGCCTTTGTCAACTCCTGCTTCTGCCAATCAGTTAGGGGAAATCCAGACAGTAATGTGGCGAATATTTCCTGCCTGGCAGCCCTGGAGGAGGGCCAGGAGCCTGGGCACCAGGAGCTGGGCCCGCCAGGGTCCCATCCAGCCCGGGGTCTGTGACTGTTTGTGGTTGTGGAGGGGTGGCTGTGTGTGAGGTATTCTGGCCAAGCTGAGTTCCAGGTGTTTCTTGCCTTTGTCTATATACGTACAGATAATTACATGGCTGATTTGCTTATCGCTAGGAAAATTAATTTTCCTTTTAAGACGTGCCAGCTGGGTCATTAAGACAGCTCAGCCTATGGTTAATTCTACCCAGCAAGTATTTATTATACCCAGCTCTGGGGGTACCAAGAAAGTAAAAGACACAGTCCTAGCTGGGTACTTCAGACTGTGGAGAAGTGGGGATCTCCGAGTTAGATTCCTGAACTGGAAATAATAGGAATGCTAATAGGAATGACAGCACTAGCAAGCATTTATTGCACACTTTCGCTACCCCGGAACGGTGCTAAATTCTTCACATGTGTTAGGTCATTTTGCCCTCATGCAGGCCCAGTGAGAAGTGGCCTGTTATTAGCCTGTTTCATGGGTGGGAGTGTGGGGGGTTTACAAATGGAGGTTAAATGACTTGCATGTGTCACACAGCCAGAGGGTTGGTGTCATGTGGGCCCAGGCCCCCTAGCCTGTGCTTGGGCAGAATATGTAGACTCTATGTACGGCGTGGACAAAATCAAAAAGGGATTCGGGGAAAGCAGGGTTGTGGTGGGCCAAAGGCCTTCGCAGGGGCTGAGCCTGGAGAGCCAAAGAGCCCTTGGAAGTCAGACGCGCTTGGGATGGGAGAGAAGAGGGAAACTTGGGTGCAGGGAGAGCCCTGGGCCTGGCCTCAGAGAAGAGGGGCCTCTGGGGAAGTTTACTTGTATGTTACCTTCCTGGGACATCTTCTGCTTTGTTTCTGAGAATTCGGGCTTCTGCCAATCTGTCTGCCTGATTCTTTGAAAGGACCCCCCTCCCCAAACATTGGACGCTGTCCTGACCCTTGAGGTTCTCCCAGAGACCAGCAGGCTCACTCCTACACCCCTCTCCCCCATTTTCGTGGTCCCTTTGGGCAGCATTATTTGGAGGAAGCACAAAAAGTGCCGGTAGCAATAGCTACCCGGACCCTGGCTTCCAAGTGCTTGGAAGGTTGTCTGGAGAGAACTAAGACTTGGAAAGGAGAGAGACGTGACTTATCCATGGGCGCAGGCTGGGAGGGAGAGAGCAGAAGCAGAAAGAGGAGCGGGAAGGAAAGGCACTGTTGTTGCCCATTGGGGGGGGGGGGGGGGGGCCTCCAGAAGACAAAGAGGAAACTTTGAAAGGGGCAGGGCTTTGGGGAGGAAGAAAGGTCCAACCTCAGTATTGCAAAGCAAAAAGTAGAGAAATGGCTAAATGGAGGGAAACAACATTGGACCCAGAGATCCTGAGCTGGAGAAGAGACACCTGGAACTAGGTGTCATATGTGGGAGAAGGAAAGTAGCCTTGGGTCAAGGGCAGGTGGGGTGAGCACTCGGGCACACATCTATCTCGTCCTCTCGCTGAGGGCCAAAGGCCATTGCTAGGGAATCGCGCCCCTGGCGTTGAGAAAGAGGGGTGCATCTGAGTGCTCTGGGGCTTGGGGCTGGCAGTGCTCTCTCCCGCCTCTGAGCATTAGACGCCCCTCATGGGCATTAGAGCTTCGGCTGTGTTTTCCCAGATGAAGGAGCAAGGCAGCAAAGCTCCATCGCTGCTGAGGTTAGCATCACTTAATTCAGTTCCTCCCCAGATACACACTGGACATCTCTTTCATCTCTTTCCTGCTCGGGCAAGGCGCCAGGCGGGAGTGTTTGAGGCTGGCAGCCAGTAGGAAAAGGTTCCATTTTTTCCCCAAATTGCACCACGCGGGAGGGGATGAAATTCTTAGTTTATGACAGCTCCCTTTCATTCATTCAAGAAATATTTCTTGACTCATAGACTCAGAGACGGGACTCCAAGGATCTTTCAGAAAACCCCCTTCTTTTCCCCTAGGAGGAAACAGCCCCTGAAAGAGAGAGAGGCATAGCTTGCCCTCTCTCAGACAGTGTTAGGGTCTCTGAAATGCCACTATCGACCACTGGCATGAGCCCCACCTCGACCCCCTGCCATGGGCAGGCAGCGTGTGGTCTACTGGTGTTTCATGCCTTCAGTAGTGTCTTAACCAGTCATCACAGTTTCTTATTTACTCCACATTATACCCAGTTTGAGTTTAATCTGAGAATAATGAGATGTATAAAGTCTTACCTTAAAGCACCGTTGATGCTCAGTGAGGAGTTTCTGTACTGCCTGGGGCTTTCCGGGCCTCCTGGATCATTGCTGGATCCCTGAGAGTCAGGAGCACCCCAGTTTTAAAAGCCTGACTCTCAGCTAATGCACCATATGCCTCTGCCCAAAGTCGGGGTCATAAGTCCCCAGGAAATACCACTGACTGAGCACCAACTCTCGGCTGGGCATTCAGTGAGGGGGTTAGCATAGGCCCTCACCACAGCCTCCATACATTTAGCTCCATTTTCTAGAGAAAGACATGGGCCCAGGGAGATGCCACGACTTTCTCGAGGGCACACAGCTACTGAGTGGTGGAGGTGGGTCCCCCGTTGGCTCACATCCCCCATGTTAGACTCCGATGCCTGAGCTCCTTTGCCGCATCGCTTTGCCTCTGGCTGACTTTTAAGTCCGGTGCGGATCTCCCACTCTCTCCACCCCTAAGGCCAGCTAACGTGAGGCCTGGCATGAGTTTCTCCACCCCCCCCCCCCCCCCCCCCCCCCCCCCCCGCCCCCGCAGGCTGTGGACGCTTGGCTGCCCTGGCCTGTCTCCCCTCACGTTTGGCCACAGCTGTCAAGAGATACTAACCTAGTTATTTGTTTCTAAAATAAGTCAGGGCCTTATCAGAGTCCAGCCGCCCTTCTAGACATGCTCTCATTGGCAGGCTTGGAGGAAAGGGAGAGGCTGCCTCTTGTCTCTGAGACAAGTTAGGGCAATGCCCTCCACCTGGAAATGAAGGAGGAGGCTCCACAGAGGGAGGCTCTCACGTGGACCTCGTAAGCATTAGATGCAAGACCCAGAAAGCCCCCTCAGCAAACGCTCATTGGAAACCCTGGGGCTTAGCAGGTTTTATGAGCCTCCGGGAGTGAAGGTCGTGAGGACCCGGGATGACACAGTTAGTTCTCTATGAAAGTCAAAGATTTTGAACTGAAAGCCAGCGTAGAGCCCCAGGTGACACGTGCACAGCCAAGTGAGATTTCAGATCAGCCTGTGATATCCAGGCTAGGGTCTCCTGACAGAGGGAGGTGGTAGGAGGTAGTCTGTCCTGGCTGGGCTGGAATTTGCTGGGGCTGGGGCTGGGGCTGGGGC